GGCAGCCGGGCAGGCGCTGGTGGGCGAGAAGCAGCTGAAGGTGTCGCAGGAGAAGTACTACAAGAAGGGCTGGCGAATCCCGGTGAGGAAGACCGACGGCAACAGCAGCGCCAAGGGGATCGGCGGCCGCTCCAGGGTCGTCGGGGAAGCGATGGTGCCGGTGACCAGTGCGGGGATCCGGTGCCTCATCCTCTTCAGGGTGATCGCGGAGGACGTCCCCCTCCTCCTGCCCGTGCGCTGGATGGAGAGCCTGGGGGCCGTCGTGAACCTGGCCGAGGACAAGATCACGCTGCGCTTCGAGGGGCTCGACCGCACCGTCAAGCTCACGAGGCAGAAGTCAGGCCATCGCACCATGGCGCTGCTGGACGAGAGCCTCCCGGGGGACTTCGACATTCCTGAGGGGGCTCGGCGCGACTGGCCGGGCCTCGAGAATGATACGTTTCGAGTGTACAGGCCCCCCTCCTTCGCCATCCTCCCCTCCTCTACGCCCGAGGCCTCAGGAGAGCCCATATCGGACCCCCTCGAACTCGAAACCCCCGGGACCGTAGAAGGGAAGGGGGGGATCGGCTCGGCAGGATTCCAGGATACCCGACTTAAGGACTCAAGAGGCACTACGGGGAGATCACGAAGTACAAGAGAAGGAGAAGCTGAGGAGGATACAGTTACCAGAGGAGGTGGCACAGGGAGAGGAGGCGGCGGAGAGACCAGGAGGCACCTCTCGGAGCTCACCTCAACCGTCGTCCAGACCCATGGGCTCGAGAGCACGTCCGATTTCCTCGATTCATCTCACGGGCCAAGAGAGCAAGAGCCTCCATCGCGAGAGAGCCATGGCGTCCGGGAGAGCTCGCACGCCAGCAGTGAGGCGAAGCTCCAGTCTGAAGCGAGAGGGGGCCTCGAGGAAGAATTCAGCACCAGGGACTCCCCGGCCGTCAGTCACCTTCTCGGAGCCGATGGACACCAGCTGGGAGAGGCTGCCGGGATCCGACCTGGAGTCCGAGGGGAGCGAGCAGTCATCCCCGCCGCTGCAGGACAGCGCGGCCTCGACCCGTCCCACATCTCCGCCACCGCCCCAGCCGACGTCAGGGCCCCACATCGGCCTCCAGACGAGCTCCCTGAGGAAGGCCTGGAAGCGGATGACGGTCAAGCTGATGCACGTGGCCGACGTGGGACAAGCGACCAAGATGATACAGGAGATGCGCGACGAGGCGACCGGGAGGATGAATGCCCTGGAGTGCCCTCATCCACCCTGGGCCCACTGGGAGTCAGGCAACCAGCACATGCGCTACGTCAAGTGCCTGAGGCGCTCGAGCATGATCTGGAGGAGGGGCCTCACGCACCGCGAGAAGCAGGCCCAGCAGCTCAAGAAGATCGAGAAGGAGGCCCGGCGGGCGGCGAGGACCAAGCAGCTGGAGACGCCGCCTTGGGAGCCGCCGAAGGTCGAGGGTCGCAGCAAGGAGGGCGTCAAGAGGGCGGCCAGGGCTACTCCAGCGGCGTCGTCCGGTTCGGCCGACACGACGGTAGAGACGAGCAGCTCCGACCTCAACCAGATGATGAAGGCGATCCAGACCAACAGCGAGGTGGTATCGCAGCTGGCGCTGGCGATCCAGCAGCTCGTGCAAAAGGAGACCTGAGGGGCTCAGAGAGCCGAAGGGGGATCAGGGATGGAAACCAAGGGAACTCGGGGATCCAGGACGGTCGGGACCTCCTGGGACCCACTCCAGGAGGATCTTTCTGTGCGGAACCCGGGGAAGGAGGGGAAATCTGGCGAGCAGCCTCTGTCGCACGATCCCGCTGTCTCGGCAAAAGTCACCGAGACAGCAGCTTTAGAGCCTCGGGCATATGGTGGGACACTAGGGAAGGCCGGACGGTCACGCTCGATGAGGTTTCCAGGGCCCGGGGCTGGAAATCCCACCGGCTCGATCCAGAAGAAAAATGCCGCCTAATGGCCCAAGTGGCCTGCTATTTAGTTCGTCGGCCCGACCCAGGCGACCTAGGCGAGTGGCTTTCGGACTGGGTCAGGATCCGCTGCTCAGGAGCGTCAGGAAACACCCTCTACGACTCCCTCTCCTCAGACTTCTCGGCGCGGCAGTTACAGCTCGCCATCGCCAACGAACCCCTGGACCACACCACCGTAGAGGCGCGGACAGCTTCGGCGTCCACGAACGTGCCTCCGCCCGGATCGAGTTCGAGGACTCCGGCTGGACCGGCGTCTCCGCTGGAGGGTATATACTCCCTTGGCCGGGCCCCCTCGATCTCAGGATTGGTTTTCCCCCAGGAAAGTGCGCGCTTGATTCCCAGGGAGGTCCGAGACGCCGTGTTGGCCGTAGGAGGGGAGGGACCGGTGAGGAAGCAGCGGAAGCGGCGGAAGAAGCTCGTCCAGGACTGGCTTTTGGGGTCCGGCCGCAAGCTGGTCATGGAACTCTTTTCGGTCCCACGGGTCGCGGACAGTCTGAAAGGGCAGGGCTATCCTGTTTCTGGATTTACGGACCGGCTATGATCTCGGGTCTCCGTCAGGGGAACGTGCGATGTGGAGTATCATAGAGCGAGATCGACCCGAGGTCATAGTCATGAGCCCTGAGTGTTTGGCTTTCTCCGTTGCCCGTCGTCCCAGTTGGCATCGACTCAAGGGAACCGACCTCGCAGACCCCGAGACGGCCGGCCTCAAGTTCATGTCCCTGTGCGTTAGAGTGGCCGAATACCAGATGGGTCGGGGCCGTGGTTTCCTTCTTGAGCACCCGGAGGGTGCCAGCTCCTGGGAAATGGACTCGGTGCGGGAAATCTTGAATCGGCCGAGTGTCGCGTCGGGGGTTGCCGATCTCTGCCAGCACGGCTTGTCCGTGAAGGGAGGAGAACCCAACAAGAAACCAACCAGTTTCATGACCAATCGTGCGTCTATTTTGCAGCCCCTCCTGCTCAGGTGCGACGGGAGTCATCAGCATCGTCAGCTCTGTGGCAAGGCCCTCACGCGAGCGGCCCAGAACTACCCCCGGGACTTGTCCAGGCCATGTGCGAGGGAATCCTGGAGTCAGCTCGCATCGTCGCCCTCGGGCACCGGGAGGAAACCCTGTGGTCCGGCGTCTGGGAGGACCCCGAGTGGCTGGCCGAGAGAAGGGTGACAGGGGTCCCATCCCCCAGACCAATCGATCGACAGGTTGCATCCTTTCCAGCCCAAGAGGACCTTGGCTCGGACGACGAGCCCGAGGAGGGCGAGGGGGGGGAAGGACTCGGGTCTAGTCAGAGAGCGGGGAGGCAGGCCGGGTCAATCAGTCGAAGTCAGCGCCTGGAGGTTTCCCGGACCCACGTGAACCTGGGCCACCCGTCAAGGGATGCTTTTTTGAAAATGCTGCAGGTTGCCCAGGCCCGGCCCGAAGTTATAGAATACGTCAAGCACGAGTTTCGTTGCGAGCAGTGTGACAGCCACACCCGACCGTCGTGGAGGCGTCGAGCCGCCGTTCCCCGAACCTATCGGTTCAATCGGCTTGTTGCTGTGGACTGTCTGTTCGTTACGATTCTCAGCACTAAGATGACGGTTCTGAACATGCTCGATCACGCCACTAACTTTCAGCTGTGCCATCTGCTCGGTCCCGGGGAGCCACTGACGTCCGAGAATATCTGGGAGGCTTTTGACAAGAGCTGGATCAGGATCTCTGGCCCCCCCGAGGTCGTCATCAGCGACGGAGGATCAGAATTCCTGGGCGCGTTCGGCCGTGGCTGTGAGCACGCAGGCGTGTTTCAGCACGTCTGCGACGCCACGTCTCCGTGGCAGAACGGCCGGGCGGAGCGACACGGAGGATGGGTCAAGAGTGCTCTGACGAAGGCCTCCGATCATGTCCAGCCGACGTCTCATGCCGAGGTCGAGTTGTTGCTCCATGAAACAGTGTCCGTAAAAAATCGATACGACCACCGGTCTGGGCACTCTCCGTACCAGCTAGTCTTCGGAGAGAACCCCAGGCTGCCACGGTCTCTTCTCAGTGACGAGGGAGTGGACGACGTCGGCCTAGAAGACGTCCAAGCCGAGTCCGCCATGCAGGACAGTGCGGCCAGTGCGTTCGCCAGAAAGCATCAGATCCGTGAGCAGGCCAAGAAGGCCTTGATGGCGGCGGACGCCAAGTCGCGTCTCGCCGAGGCCCGGAGATCTCGACCCCATGTCGATCGCGTCTTTCTGCCCGGTCAGTGGGTGCACGTGTGGCGCAAGGTGAAGGGGGTGAAAACTCACGCGCTGCAACGCGACCGGTGGGTCGGCCCCGGGGCCGTCGTCTTTCACAAGGGGACCACAGTTTGGATCGCGATGCGAACCAAGCTATGGAAGTGCTCGGTCAAGCAGGTCCGAGAGGCGACGCGCGCCGAGGCGCTCGGAGCCGAACTCGTGGACACCCCGGAGTTTCGGGCCCTTCAAGCTGAAGTTCGCAACCCAGGCAAGACGGCGGGGGCTCTGGACGTCGAATCCGAGGGTCCCCCCCCCCGACGAGGCCTGGGACGGTCAGGACACGATCGGGGCCGAAGCAGGAGGACCGGTCACTACTGGCGGAGGAGGCGGAACGGCGTCGGCTCGCCCCTCGGAGCCCGCGGAAGCCTCGGTGGAAGCCAGGTCTCCTCTTCCGACTATTCCTGAGAGCAGCGAGGTCGTGAGCTTCGGAGACCAGAGCGAGCTTCCCGAGGACCTGCGCCGAGCTCCGGACGCCCCGCACCCCCCCCGTCCTGCTCCTGACCTGGGTCGATTTGTCAGGACCGAACCCCTCGAGGACAAAGAGGATAAGTTGCATCCCCCTCCCGGCCTGGAGGAACCACCTAGAGCTCGACCCCGAGTAGAGGGCAGTCCCAGCCCGTCTCCCGCTGCCTCTTCCGCCCCCAGTCTGGTCAGGACCATCGACGGCCGTCGAGGCGATTCGAATCCAGGAGCTTCAGTTGAGCCAGAAAGGGTCAGGGAGAGGTCTCCGCGAGCTGCCGCCCGACCAGCTGAGGGGTCGACGTCTCGACACACTCGGCGAGCCGGATCGCCCATGCGCGGGCTGCTCTCTCGCATCCACGTTATTCCCGCGGGTCCCGGGGTGACGCCGGTGGAGCTCCGAGAGTCGGCCTCCGTGGCCGAGAGGGTTCAGGAGTGGGAGGCCCAGAGGAGTTCGGCGGACGACGCCAGAGGCGATCCCGGCACTTTGATCGAACTGGCTTGCGGAGAGGAGGAGGACCTGATCGAGCTCAGGGAAGAGGACGGGGCTGACGAACAGGACCGGATGCTCCTCCAGGAGTTGGCGACCTGGGGCCCAGGTCCCGGGGACGAAGACTACAGTCCGACATCCTCGTTCGCCACGGCCGGACCGACTCCAGGCGGGCCCCGGCGGGGCCAAGAGGTCGTCTGGAACAAGCTCAGTCCAGAAGAGCGAGAGGAGTTCAAGAAGGCGGACGCGGCCGAGTGGTCCGCCATGACCGCTACTAAGGCAGTGAGAGTGGTCTCCCCCGCGGAGGCGGCCCTGGTCCGTCGGAGGGATCCATCCAGGATTCTCTCGTCGCGCATGGTCCGTCGGTGGAAGCCGCAGGAAGGCACGGGAGCCAGCGAGAAGGCAAAGTCACGCTGGTGCGTGAGGGGGTATGCCGATCCCGACGCGGAGTCTCTGCACGTGTACTCTCCGACTCCTCAGGAGGAGGCTGCGTTGGTTGCTCTCCAGCTGATAGCTGGCAAGAAGTGGAGGCTTCAGATAGTGGACTGTAAGAACGCCTTTTGCCAGGCGGACCCCCTCTCCCGCCCCAACGAGAAGATATGTGTCGAGCCATGCGATGGTGTTGACGTCCCCCGGGGGGCCCTCCTGGAACTTGTGGCCCCAGTCTACGGCCTGAACGATGCTCCGATTCGCTGGCATCAGACCTTGACCAATCACCTAAAGTCCCTGGGGTTTCGGCGCTCTCTTTTGGAGCCGTGTCTCTGGATCGCCCACCATGCCTCGGGTAGCCTCGAGGCTCTTGTAGTGATTGAGGTCGACGATCTCATTGTTTCTTGCGAACCCTCATATGAGAGTGAGCTCAAGAAGTTGCTGACCAGCCGTTTCCATTTCGGTAAATTGCAGGTCGGTGAGGCCGAATACGCGGGGAGAAGGATCCGCCAGCAGCCTGATGGGCGCATTCTCGTCGACCAGGAAAAGTATATCCTGGAGCAGGTCCGCCCCATGAGACTCGACAAGGAGCGTGTTAAATGTCCCGAGGAGTTGCTCGATGCAGGAGAGCTCCGAGACTATCGCGGCCTAGTGGCGAAGATTCTCTGGGCGGCCCGCCAGTCTCGTCCCGACGTGTCCGGATCCGCCTCGATGCTGAGCGCCGAATGCCCACAGGTCAAGATAGCCTCGGCTCCCATGGCTAACAAGGTAGCTCGCCACCTCCGGTGCACGGCCAGCTCCTGTCTGACGATTTGGCCCTTGGACCTGAGTGCCGTGACCATGGTCACGTGCAGTGATGCGGGGGGCCCCGGGTCCGCTAAAAGAGACGGTGCTCAAGGAGGCTGGCTCGTGATGCTAGGGGACTCCAGGATCAAAGACAATCGTCGCTCTCGTGTTTCGCTCTTGTCTTGGAGAAGCCAGAGGCTCCGTCGAGTCGTCTCGTCCACTTTATCGGCGGAGACGTTGAGTCTTTCCGGGGCTCTCGCCGAGGGACAGTGGTTGTGGCTCGTTTTCCGGGATGCCTTGTATGGAGATGTGAGGGGGCCTGAATGGTGGAACTCAGGGACGTCCTGCCCCTTTGCCGTCGCGCTCGTCGACGAGTGTGCCATCGCCGAGGCTTCCGAGGGCGTCGCCGTAGTCGATGCGAAGTCCCTCTTCGATACGCTGTCCAAGAACTGCGGGGGTGCCAAGGCAGACCGCCGCAACGCCATCGAGATGGCGATAGTCCGGGACTCGATGACAGCCGAGGGGACACTGGTGAGGTGGGTTCCACACTGCAAGATGCCTGCTGACGCTCTGACCAAGGTCGACCCAGGACGAGGGAATGTTGCTCTGACTGATCTCATGCACAAGGGGATGCTGGCGCTAACGGACGAGTCTGGATCGCTCGACGAGCGGTCTCTCGACCTGTCGCTGAAATCCCGGACTCGGAATGCATCACGACAGGCTCTACAGAGAGAGTCCCAGCCCACTGAGGCTGGCGAGGACGCAGAGGAGGCTGAGGAGGAGAGAGGAGGAGGAGGGCGCCCCGCCAGGACGCCGAGGAGGTCGCCCTCGCGTTCGCCTGGCCTGCCGGGCCCAGTACCCTCCGACCCGGGCCCGGAACCGATGGGGGGAGAGGGAAGGGGCGTGGTCCGTGGATCTTAGTGGCCTCGCTTCTCCGTCTGCTGCTGTGACGGACCTCATGGGACACTAAAGTAGGGGGTGCTGTCTTTTAAATACTCGACCCCTTGTCCCATGAGGTCCCCCAGAATGTTCTCAGAGTTTGATAGGCTTCACACTGTGCTCAGTGTGAATGGGGAGCCTGCCTGTGCCAGGCTGACTGCGTCCGACACCGTTGTGGCTCAAGCGCGCAAAACATCCGGGAGGAAGGGGGCCTCCCGCTTGTCGCCCCGCGCGCCCCCGGGCCTCTAGAGCCCCTCGATCCGCCCGCGAACCTCTTTCACACATCTGTCCTGAGAGATGTCCAGAGGAGGCGGGCGTCACTGAAGTCGTCGCGGTCTTCGCCATCGTCATTGCCACACCCGCCGTCTACGCGGACTCGCTTTACCACCCGGATGCTCACAGACAGAGCTCTTCAGCGAGACGTGACGGACGTACGGGATTCACACATGAAGGTCGCCGCGTCCAGCAGTTGGCAATGTTTGTTGGCAGGGGTGGCGGGCCTGCACGCCGCAAGCCTCAGATCTCTGGACCGGGCAGCCCGGTCGTGGCCGAGGTCCGCCGTGGCCAGGCAGGCCCGGCCCATGCGCCCTCTGCCTTGGCAGCACGATGACTGTGCGCGCGCTCTCCTCGCGGGGGGGGAGGGGAGAGCCCTCTGCTTCCCTTTTCGGTCGGGCACGTCCACCTGCAGGCGGGCTCCTGATGTAGACTCCAAAAAGTCAGACATGGGACCGGAGAAGAACCCCAATCGGAGTCTTTTTTTGATATTGCATGAGATCCCTTTTGCAAGTGCTCCTGAGGTTTATGAAGTTTGCGAGGGCTATGAAGGCCATGAGGGCTATAGGGCCATAAAGCTATAGGCTGTACGGCTATAGGACTGTAGGGCTATAGGGCTACAGGGCCATGTGGGCTATAAAACTATAGGGCGATAGAGCACCAGGGCGCCCGGGCACCCTGGGCAACTCCAGGCACCCCCGGGCACCCGAGCACCCGGGCACCTGGGCACCCGAGCACCCCCCGGGCACCCGGGCCGGCCACCGAAATCGGCGACGCACTTCACGTAACCGTATGAATCCGCTAGGACCCCTACAGAGGCAAGCTCAGATTGGGGAAATATTCCCACATGGTCAACAGTGGTCAAGAGAAAATCGTCCCCTGAACATGTTTGATAAGTTTGACGACACACTCCTTGTGTAGAGGGACACGCCCGATTTAAGCTGCCCTTCAGCCCCCCCCCCCCCCCTCGACCAGGCTCGCCCGCGCGCGGCGGCTGGCGCGCGGCCCAGGGCTGGCCGCGGCAGGGGAGCGGCGGCGCGCCGGGGCGGCTGGGAAAGAGGCGCGGGTCAGCGGCCCAAGCAGTGGCGCAGCGTCCTGGCGTACCTATAGGCCTACCAAGAATGTCCTGAGCACCTTGAACACTTCTGGCAAGGACCGGTAGAGGGAAACAATTAGTGAACACCCCCTTTGCCCCCAAAACTCAAAGTTGGCACGCGGGGGGGAGACTGCGGTCGAGGTGCAACTCATCAGACCCACTGCCAACTTTGAACATTGGGACTGCTGGGACGGTCGGTCCCTGCTCAAGGCCAGGGGAGCGGCGGCGCGACGGGGCGGCTGGGAAAGAGGCTCGGGTCAGCGGCCCGCTGCTGCGTGCAGCCAAGACGATGAAACAGTGACAATTTGTCAGGCGATGGCAAGCCCAGACCACCTCGAGTAATGACAAAATCGCGACGGGAGGTCTTCCGCTATTTTTGGCCTCTGGGGACTCTCACCGGGCCTCGGAACCGTCAAAAAACCATTCGGGATGAAAGACCAGTCCCGGGGAATAGGTCGAGACCTCGGGGGGTCGACGTAGTGAAAAAAACATGACGTCGGGGGTCTGGGAACATGGATCAAGGCGGCGTGGATTAGCGACGGGCCCCGCTTCCCTGGGAAACAGTGACCAATTGGTGATCGTTTTTTATTCATTGTTTTGCCGATCGGCGCGGGCCCTCGCACCCCCCCCCCGCCCTCCTCCCATGGAGTAGATCTTGGCTGTTTTTCCCAACCCTCCTTGGTTGGGCATTCGCTTTGAATAATGGACTGTGGTCTCCACCTTCCTTCCTCCCGCCTCCCTCCTGCCTCCTGCCTGCCTCCTCCTGTCTTGCCTGCGGGGGGCTGCGATCTGTGAAACTGTCGCTACTTTCGAGGCCTGCTGGGGGGCCCAGCACAGTGACGCCACGCGCGGACCCAAATTAGACCTCGCCATCCCTGGGGGGCTGCGATCTGTGAAACTGTCGCCACTTTCGAGGCCTGCTGGGGGCCCAGCACAGTGACGCCACGCGCGGACCCAAATTAGACCTCGCCATCCCTGGGGGGCTGCGATCTGTGAAACTGTCGCCACTTTCGAGGCCTGCTGGGGGGCCCAGCACAGTGACGCCACGGCGGACCCAAATTAGACCTCGCCATCCCTGGGGGGCTGCGATCTGTGAAACTGTCGCCACTTTCGAGGCCTGCTGGGGGGCCCAGCACAGTGACGCCACGCGCGGACCCAAATTAGACCTCGCCATCCCTGGGGGGCTGCGATCTGCGAAACTGTCGCCACTTTCGAGGGCTGCTGGTGGGTCCTGCGGGGTGAGGCACCGCGCGGACCTGAGCGGGACCTCGCCGTCCCTGGGGGCTGCGATCTGCGAAATGTCGCCACTTTCGAGGGCTGCTGGTGGGTCCTGCGGGGTGAGGCACCGCGCGGACCTGAGCAGGACCTCGCCGTCCTTGGGGGGGCTGCGATCTGCGAAATTGTCGCCATTTTCGAGGGCTGCTGGTGGGTCCTGCGGGGTGAGGCACCGCGCGGACCTGAGCGGGACCTCGCCGTCCCTGGGGGCTGCGATCTGCGAAACCGTCGCCACTTTCGAGGGCTGCTGGTGGGTCCTGCGGAGTGAGGCACCGCGCGGACCTGAGCGGGACCTCGCCGTTCCTGGGGGGCTGTGATCTGCGAAATGTCGCTACGTTCGACGGCTGCTGGTGCCTGCGGAGTGAGGCACCGCGCGGACCTGAGCGGGACCTCGCCGTCCTTGGGGGGCTGCGATCTGCGAAAATGTCGCCACTTTCGAGGGCTGCTGGTGGCTCCTGCGGACTGAGGCACCGCGCGGGCCTGAGCGGGACCGCACCGTCCCTGGGGGGGCTGCGATCTGCGAAACCGTCGCCACTTTCGAGGGCTGCTGGTGGGACCTGCGGAGTGAGGCACCGCGCGGACCTGAGCGGGACCTCGCCGTCCCTGGGGGCTGCGATCTGCGAAACCGTCGCCACTTTCGAGGGCTGCTGGTGGGTCCTGCGGAGCGGGGCACCGCGCGGACCCGAGCGGGACCTCGCCGTCCCTGGGGGGCTGCGATCTGCGAAATGTCGCTACTTTCGAGGGTTGCTGGTGGGTCCTGCGGAGGGAGGCACCGCGCAGATCTGAGCGGGACCTCGCCGTCCCTGGGGGGCTGCGATCTGCGAAATTGTCGCCACTTTCGAGGGCTGCTGGTGGGTCCAGCGGAGCGAGGCACCAGGCAGATCTGAGCGGGACATCGCAATCCCTGGGGGGCTGCGAACCTCACGAATGCCGCTTGCAGAAGTATATGATCCCATGTCACGTCATCACCTCTGTAGAACGTCTCCCAAGCTACTCATGCCCCGCATTGCGCAGAGGTTGGGTACGTCGCCAGGGTAATTTTGGCGCCTGTTTCGAGCAGGTGGAGCCATCCCCAGAGGCAGCACTCTTGCAATGCAAACAGTCGCCCTGAGAAGAGGTCTGGAGCCAGAACACCCCCCTCCCCCCCTCCCCCCCCTCCCTCCCAATGTCGAAACGCCGAATAAAAAAACGCTCACGATCGCAAACATGGATCCAGGGGGCGTGGATCAGCGACGGGTCCCGTTTCCGTGGGAAATCGCGGAGTTCCACCGCCGGGCGAGGCGGCACCTGCCGCATTTTGGGGAGGGCACTTCCCCCGATCCATGGATTTGGCGACCGCGCGCCCCAATTCCATGGAGCGCCAGTCCATGTTTGCGCGCACCCGAATTGAGGGCTCCGGAGGGGCTCCCGTTTTTCGGGCCGTTCCGTAGATCTGCGTGCAGGGAGCCTGTGCGTGGCCGAGAGGCTCGCTGTGGCCAGGAGAGCCCCTTCGGGCCGAGGCCGCCGTGGCCCACCTCGCGCGCCGGTGGCGAGCCCATCACTTACGCCTTGCGGGTGGCAGCTGTGCTGTGCCCGCGGCGTCCCGCAGCTGCGCGGCAGCTGTAACGACTAGGATTGGGTCGGGCGTGTCCCCCTACAGGCCAATCTTCGGTTTAAAACTTAAAACACGCAAAAAAAATCAAAGCACTACAAAAAAAGAGAAAGACAAAAAAACGACCCCATCTGTTGTTTGACTACTTTTGATTTTTTTTCGTGTAGAAGGACGTGCCAGATTTAAGACTAGGAGCGGGGCCCCTGGGTCGGAGGAGAGAAGGGCGACTTCCCAACCAGCAGGGATGCCACCTCCAGCGAGGAGCTCCACGATGCCTCCCCGAGCTAGGGGCGGGGGGGATGTCTCCAGCGGGGAGGGGGGTCACACAACTAGGAAGACCCCCCTGGCTCCTCGCGCTGGTGGTGGTGGTGTCGCTGTTGCTTGCTCCCATCTGAGGGAGGAGCAGCGAGGTCGTCGGTCGGAAGGTCCCACGAGGTCTGATGACGGGCGCCCCCCCCCATCGGTTCGAGCCTACAGTTGTCGCGCGAGAGATCCTGGGGACTCCTCAAGGGCTCTGGCGGAGGCTACTGGAGGCCCTTGGAGGCTCCAAGGTGCCCCTCTGGCGGACCATACAAACCATGTAACAACCAAAGAATCCATTCCCTCAAGTCCAGCACCACTTTTTGAAGCTCCAATCCACGAGGCAGAGGGGGGAAGCGGAAGGTAAGGCATCCCTTCCGTCGGGTAATTGTGGATGACCGCATCCCGAGCAAGACGATTTGCTCCGTAGGCCTTTCAGTTGAAGCGTTGCCGTAAAGATCGGCGCCCGTTGTTCACCCGCCCCGCATTCATTACCCTCCAGGCATTGGGCTCGCTCATGGAGTCGCTCTACCGCACCAACGCAAGGACACAGCCCCCGAGCGATGCGACCTCCCTGGATACCGCGGAAGGGTACAATGATGGCTGGGCGAAATCTGTATTCCAGAGGGGAGGGGCGGCTCGGGTGGGCATGTAGATACTTTTCATATCTATCTATGTATATGTATATAAACACCAGATACACAAACGTTTATATGTATACCTACATCGTTGTATGCACACACACCTATAAACATGCATATATATGTGAAATAATATCGTTAGCCGTGTGAGTTCCTGCCGAGCTGGCGTGGTGATTCTGACACCCTCCTCCGTGTACCTATTTTGGCTCAAGATGAAAAGAGATCTTGTTGTTAATCAACACATTATCTCATCATGGTAGCGTGAGCTGGCCACTCACTGCTGCGACCCACCAGGGCCTCGCGGCGCGCGCGGCGCCACGGCGAGCTGGCAGGGCGCGTGGCCCGAGGCGAGAGGCTGGAAGAGAGCGGCATCAGCCGCACCGAGCACAGCAGAGGCCGGACCACCGGCAGAGGTTGAGAGGAGACCACCGAAGAGCGGCCGCAGGCGCGGCAAGAGGAGTGACGCAGCTGTTGAGAATCGAAGACGACAGTTGCAGTTCAAACACGGCCTGAAGGACACGGGCAACAAGTTGCACGACCTCGCGTACATCGAGGACCATCCCTCGGAGAACTCGTCAGGAGCAATCGAGGAGGCGAAGAAGGAGGTCTTAGATCAGATCATAGACCTCGAGCGTACGAGGCAGGAGATCTCAGAACGCAAGGAGGAGCTCGCCAGGAAGCACGCAATTAAACATGGACGAGCAAGTTCGGCAGCAGTTCGACTTACTGAGGCAGGAGTTCGCAGCCCGCATGAGTCAGACCGTCGACGAGATGAGGAGGCTCGAGAACGAGAATCAGCGGCTTCAGCAACAAGTAGCCGGAGGCCTCGCGGCGATTCCGCAGGCGATCGAGCGCATGGGCGAGCAGATCCGAGGAGCTACGCACGCGGGAGGAGCCGCACCAGGTCTCGTCGACACGAAGGGGATCGGCAAGCCCACGACGCTAGGCGACGATCAGGAGAAGTTCGGAGCTTGGAACCGCAAGATGGAGAACTACGTGATAGGCGTGTACGGAGAGAGCTTCCGTCCTGTTCTCCGGTGGGCGGCAGAAGCCGAACGCCCCGTGACGATCGAAGGGGCACAGGAGGCGCACGGAGGAGTACCAGAGCTGGTGACCAAGATCAACCAGGTGTACGCGGCGCTGATCAGCACGACGGCGGACGGCAGCGAGAGCAACGACCTCGTGACGGGCGCGCCAGACGGGAACGGTCTCGAGGCCTGGCGGAAACTTCACCGCAGGTGGGACCCGACGACAGGTCCGAGGAAGAGGCTGATCCTGAGATCGATCATCTCGCCTCCGAAGTGCAACGCGGAAGAGCTGGGGTCCGCCTTAGAGAAATGGATCCAGCAGATAGGCAAGTACGAACGCCGCCAAGGAGAGGACGGACTGGCCGAGCTGCCGGAGGATATCAAGATGGCGGCCCTCGAGATGCTCGTGCCTCAGGACATCGAGAACCACCTCGTACTCAACAAGCATCGGCTCGTAACGTTCCAGGACAGTCTGAACGAGGTGATGACGATCGTGGAGGCTCGGACAGGCGTGAAGATCAAGGAGCCATCGATCCGCGCACGGGCGCACCATCCGGACGACATGGACGTCGGATCGTTCGGAGCCCCGAAAGGAAAAGGCAAAGGCAAGGGCAAGGACGGCAAGAGCAAAGGGAAAGGCAAGGCCCAGGAGACGAAGGGGAAGAGCAAATCGACGAGCGGATCATACTCAGGCTCCCGCACATCCCCGACGGGTTCGGGCCGTGGTTCCGGGCACACGGCACCCCGAAGCACCGGCGTGCGCTTCGACGGCTACTGTCGGAACTGCGAGAGATGGGGCCACAAGGCATCCGAATGCTGGAGGAAAGAGCAGGGATCGAGTACGAGGGCTGGAACTGGATCCGCAACGGGGGCAAGCGCTGGTGGTAAAGGTGGTGGCCGCGGCGGCAAGGCCGGCGGCAAGGCTGCAGGCAGCCTGGAGGAGGAGCCTGAAGCGGAGGTCGCCGCCCTGGATATGGGCAGCTTGGATTGCCTGGAGCTCGCCGGCGGCAGCGGCCGCGGCGTAGCAGCGGTCGACCTCTCTCCCTTCGCGCAGGACGACTGGATGAAGTTCAACTGGGACAGCGGTGCAGCGGTCTCAGCATTCCCTCGGAGCTTCGCGCCGCCGACGGGATTGAAGGGCAACGGCAGCACGTATCGTACGGCCAGTGGTGAGCTTGTCCTGGACGAGGGCAGCTTGCAGCTCAAGGCGGAGGATGAGTACGGAGTGCTACGAGCGCTCAAGGGACGCGCGACGAACGTGCACAAGCCGTTGATCTCGGTGGGGCAGGCAGCAGGAGCTGGACAGTGTTCATTCCTAGGCCGCAATGGCGGCTGGATATTCCACGAGAAGAGCCCAATCGGCAAGCGTGTAGTAGGCATGCTGGAGAAGGAGGCGAAGACGGCGAAGCACCAGATGCTGCCGGTCTATCGTGAGCAGGGCGTTTACAACTTCTACTTCAAGAAGGGCCAACATGGCTCGGTTGCTCCTCTCGAGGAGGGATTTTCGGCGAAGTCGAAGTCCGAGCTGGTGGAGCTACTCAGCGGCAAGTCGAAGGAGGAGCTGCTGGAGATCCTCGAGAGGACAGTCCCCAGGAGGCAGCCCTCGGCGTAAGTCCACTGGAAGACTCAATACAGCAGTCCCCTGCGGCATCGGCTGCAGGGGCAGCAGCGGCGGGGTCGGGACCTTCCGACATGAGACCGCCGGGTTTTCAGCCAGCAGCAGCTGCGGCGGCTGACGCTTTGCCAGCTGCTCCTGATGGACAGCAGGCCGACGAGGGCGAGGAGGAGGCTCGCCCGAGGGTGCTGAAGGCACCTCATGAGCCCTCTCAGAAGGAGATCGCCGAGCACGAGGCGATGGGACACGCGACTTACCGCAGCTGGTGTCGCGTGTGCATTGCGGCAAAGGGCCAAGGCCAGCCGCATCTCCGCGCACCGGAGGACGACGAGACGGCGGTGCCGGTGGTCTCGTCCGATTACGCCTTCATGGGCCAGGACGACGCGGACACCATGCCGATGCTGGTCCTTCGGGATCGACGTTCGAAGATGATGGCAGCGACATTCGTGGAGAAGAAGGGCGACGACGCCTACGCCATCAAGTTCTTCGCACGCTTCTTACGGATCCTGGGCTACAGGAAGATCGTCAACAAGTCCGACGGCGAGCCAGCGATCCTGCTGGTCAAGAGGCGTGCGGTGGAGGAGGTTCCTGGCCTCGAGGCCATTCCCCAGGAGTCGGCACCGGCCGACCATCAGGCCAATGGGGAGATCGAGGTCACGGTGCGCGAGATCAAGAAGCAGGTGCGAGCGCTCAAGATGGACCTGGAGTCCAAGCTGGGCGTCAAGGTGGAGGACAAGCACCCAGTGCTAGCGCACCTGCCGGAGCACGCCGCATCGGTGATCAACCGATACAGGCGCGGCCAGGACGGCAAGACCGCTCTTCAGCGGCTCACGGGACGGCAGTGGAGGAAGCCGGTCCCGCTCTTCGGCGAGCGCCTGATGGTGCGGTTCGCCGGGGAGCGCACGAGGAAGAACGCGCTGGAGGAACAGATGGTGGAGGCCCGCTACATTGGCCACCACCCGCGCGACGGCTCGATGATGGTCATCACGAGCGACGGTGTGAAGAAGGCGGTCGGCTTTCGCAGCCTGCCGCAGAGCGAGAAGTGGATCACGGCGGGCTGGGACAGCCTGAAGGGCCTGCCGTGGGACGTGGCTCCGCGTGCGGCCAGTGCGCCGCGAGCCATCGTCGGACCGGGAGAGGCCGGTCCGCCACCGATTGTGGTGGTGCCGCCGCAGCCGCAGGCGCCGAGGAGGATGTACGTTCTCAAGGCGGACGTCGAGCGGCTGGGCGCAACGCCGGGATGCCCAGGGTGCGTCTCGATCGCCAAGCACGGCAAGGTGCTGGCTGGCCATGCGCACAACGCGGTGTGCAGCAAGAGAATCTTCGAAGCGCTGGACGCTGAGGAGGCAGGCCGGGAGAGGACCGGCCAGTATCGAGAGCGGAGGCAGGGCCAAGAGGCCAGAGTCCGCCCGGCGGCAGCGGCCGCGGCAGGGACCCCTCCGCCGAAGACGGCTCGGAGGATCACCGAGCCAGTGGCAGCGGCGGCGTCGGCGCCGGCCGCGAGCCGATCAGCAGCAGCGCCAGCAGCAGCGGCGCGCATGCGAGAGAGCCAGCCGGGAGCATCAGGCTCCGGCGTGGCGGCTCCTTCAGGAGGAGCGAGCTCCAGTTCGGGAGCAGTGAGAGCGGCAGAGGCCGCCGAGGATGTCGACATGACCGCGACCAGGTCGCGGCTGAAGCGCTTGGCGGAGGTGGCCCCGGATGACGTGCCGGAGGCCCTCGAGCGCGGTGATCCACAGCCGGCAGACGTGCCGGTACCGGTGGACATGGAGGACCTCGCGGCGCAGCCGGCGCCAGCGGAAGGACCTCAGCTGCCAGCTGGAGTGGCAGTCGTGTGGAACGCCAGCGAGGGGAGACACATGCGGGTGCTCGCTCTCGACGTGGCGTCAATCGAGCTGGTCGAGCTCGGAGTGCTGACGAGAGCGAAGGCGGAGTTGCTTCCGCTCGTTCGTGAACAGGTCAGCGGCCACTGGGCCAGTGTCGGCGTGGACATCGCCGACGAGGAGGTGGACAGCATCGCCTTATCGGCGTTGCAGCTGGGCGCCGTGGACGTGGCAGAGGTGTACTCGCCGCATCGGTTCTCGGCGCGAGCGGCGGAGTTCCAGCTGCGCCCGGGCTTCGCGGCGGACCTGGAGGAACTCAAGGAGGACGGGACGCCGTGGGACTTGCGGCGACCCGAGGACATCAAGGAGCTCGAGGAGCTGCAGGAGCGGATGGATCCCATCCTGCTTACGGGGTCCCCTCCATGCGAGAAGTTCAGCTTGCTGAGGGGCCTGAGCGCCAAGTTCAGGACCGATGAGCAGGAGGCGGCTGAGATGGAGGAGGCCAGACACCACCTGAAGGTGGCAGTCGACGCCTACTGGCGTCAGCTCAGGAAACCAGGCAGGTACTTCCTGCATGAGCATCCCTGGAGCGCGCGATCGTGGGATGAGGACATCGTCAAGGAGCTGGTCGCGCATCCAGGAGTCTTCACGGTCAAAGGCCCCATGTGTCGGTGGGGCATGAAGCTCGCGAACCCACGCAGTGGCCAGGAGGAGTTCGTGCGCAAGGAGACCGGGTGGGTCACCAACCACCCAGGCTTGGCTCGGAGACTGCAGGGCACTTGCAGCAATGTGGACGGACGCGCGGAGTGGCATCGCCACATCACGCTCGTGGGCGGCATCGCGCGGTTCGCGAAGGTCTATCCACCGAAGTTGGTGGAGGCGGTGCTGGAGGAGCTCAAGGACACGCTGAACGACGTGGGGGAGCTCAGCACCGCCCAGGTGCAGCAGTCGGGCCCAGTCCCGGTGGACGCGGCGGTGCCGCCCGGGGACTGGACGAGCTACTGGGACGACGTCAACGGCGGCTACCTGGAGGCAGGCCTTGTGGCCCAGGCTCGCGCGGTCGAGCGCGAGTGGGTCAAGAAGCAGGAGCTGATCGAGATCGTCCCGAGGTCTCAGGCTTTCGCTGAGACTGGGCGTCCGCCCATCCCACTCAAGTGGGTCGACACGAACAAGGGCGACGCGGAGAGGCCCAACTACAGGAGCAGGCTCGTCGTGAAGGAGATCAAGGCGAAGAAGCGTCCGGACGAGCAGCTGGAGGCGTCCGAGGTCTTCTCGGCAATGCCTCCTCTGGAGGCCATGCGGTCGCTGGTCTCGCTGATGGTCACGTGGACGCGGGAAGCACCGCTCCACATTCAGGAGTCGCTTCGCAAGAAGGGCAGGAAGCCGGGCAACTTCAAGATCGGCTTCTTCGACATCAGCAGGGCGCACTTCTACGGGAAGGCGCAGCGAAGGATCTTCGTGGAGCTGGAGGAGGAGAGTCGCAAGGAGTACGGCGAGGACAAGTGTGGCTTACTCCTCAAGTCCTGGTACGGCACGCAGGACGCCAGCAAGATCTGGCAGGGCGACTACACGGAGCTGTTGGAGGAACACGGCTACAAGGCGGGCATGTCATGCCCAGCGGTCTTCTACAAGGAGGTGGACGAGACAAGGCTGCTGGGGCACGGCGACGACTTCGCGGTGCTGGCTCAGCAGCAGGACATCGACAGCTTCGAAGCCACGTTGGGCAAGAAGTACGAGTTCAAGAAGACTGCGAACCTCGGCTTCGACGAGGGCGATGACAAGCAGGCGGTCTTCCTGAATCGGGTCATCGAAGTCAGTGCGGGAGTTCCGCCTGGCGGTGGCCGTCCCTGCCGGCATGCGATGATTGAGCCGGACAAGCGGCACGCAGAGATCGTGATCGACGAGCTGGGTCTCAGCAAGGCCAACGGCGTGGACACGCCGATGGAGAAGCGCAGCGCCGACAAGCAGATGATGGACGCGAAGTCAGCGGCGCTGGGAGCGGCGGAAGCTTCGCGCTTCCGATCCCTCACCATGAGGGTAGCCTACCTGTCTCAGGACAGGCTGGACTTGGCAGAGGCATCGAAGACGCTCGCCAGGTCTATGCAGACGCCGACGGAGGCGAGTTGGCTCATGCTCAAGAGGGTTGGCCGCTACCTCAAGCGGCATCCCAGTACGGTGACGGTCTTCACGGAGCAGAAGATGTTCGACAAGATCCGGGTGTACGTGGACTCCGATCATGCGGGCTGTGCAGTCACTCGGAAAAGTACGGGAGGCTTCGTGGCGATGCTGGGGCATCACGTCATCAAGCACGGCAGCAATCTGCAGTCGACGGTCTCTCTGAGCAGTGGGGAGAGCGAGTACTACGCCCTGGTCAAGGGCGGGAGCGTGGGCCTGGGTCTACACAGCCTCTTCGCAGACTGGGGGCTGGACCTGAAGGTGGAGCTCGCCTCAGACTCATCGGCGGCCCGGGGCCACGTCCAACGGCGAGGTCTCGGGAAGATGCGACATGTTCAGTCACGATACCTGTGGATCCAGGAGCGTGTAGGCAAGGGCGACCTTTCGATCGCCGCAGTTCCTGGTAAGAACAACGTCGCGGACGTGCTGACTAAGAGCGTGGGTGGATCTCTCTTGAGGAGACATATGGCGACGCTCAACATCTGGGATCGGGCACCGAGTTCGACCCAGAAGGACATCAAGTGAAGGAGTGGATCGAATCCATGCTCCGCTACCTGTGGGGCTGGATGAGTTTCCGCCGGTGGCGGTAGGATCGCACCGGACGGGTGAAGTGAGGGGCTCGCGGCATGGCCGCAGCCCGGCTGATGAAATGGGCGCGTCGGCTTGGACGCGCCCGCGTGTGACGAGATGGGCGCGTCGGCTGGGACGCGCCCGCGTGTGACGTTGAGAAGGGCGTGTCGGCTTGGACGCGCCCGCGTACGACGCATGTCGTGCCTGGCCGGGTTGGCGGCCAGGCCCGAGGAGGAGTGATTCTGACACCCTCCTCCGTGTACCTATTTTGGCTCAAGATGAAAAGAGATCTTGTTGCTAATCAACACATTATCTCATCACGTGGAGTCACCCTTCAACTCGAGCCATTGGTGGGTTGGCTTGTGGGTACTTCCGCCAGCGTTGGGAGAGAGAGCGAGAGGGAGAGAGAGAGAGAGAGAGCGCGAGAGAGAGAGAGAGAGACGCCTACGGCGAGTCACTGCCGCCGCGCCCCCTGCTATTGTGGAAAGGCGAGGTACTGCACATGGAAAGCGAAGTTGGGGGAAGTGCTCTGGATCGGTTCTGGAAGAGACATACCCTCCACATACCCAGCCCCCCTCCTGTCATGATTGGCTCCCGCGTCGCCGCCCTGGCCCCCACATGCGCTACTCCGTAGCCCTTTTGGCCCAGGAGCCTTCTGCTCCAGGGCAGGTCGCCCAGCGACCCGCCCCGCTGTCCCTGCGGCCCCTGGCGCTGGAGGCGGAGCTCTTGCGGCGTGGGGATGCCCGACAGCCCGCGGACGGCACGACCCGTGCGCACGCAGGCGGCGGTGGCTGGGGCATTGCTGCTGGCGGTCCGTATGGCGGCCCCACAGATGCGCTGCAGCGCCGTGCCGCCACGGCCGCCAGCCAGGGCCGCGCTCCATCGCCGCGGCGCCGTCGCTGGCCTGTTGGCTCCGGCGGCAGTGGGCTCTTCGGCTTGGGATGCGGTTGCGGACGTGCCGGCTGGCAACGAGTACGCTGCGGTGTCCGCCGCCGAGGTGTTCCGTTTGGACGGTGCCGTGTGCAAGGTCGGCGATTTGGTCCCGAGCGGCAAGAGGACCGTGCTGGCGGTGTTGACACATTTTGGGGACTTCAATTCGTGGGAGTATGCCCAGCAGCTCAGGTTCGAGCTGCCGAAGCTGCAACAGGCGGGTGTGTCCCTCGTCGTTGTCGGCATCGGCACCGTCTCAGCCGCCATGAAATTTTCCGAGCTCCTAGATCTGCCAGCCGAGTTCAACCTCTATGCAGACCCGACAGGCGCTACAGCGAAGGCGCTTGGGTGCTCACGCGGGTTCGCAGAGGGGACGCCGGTAAATGGCTACTTGAAGTTGTTACCTATGCTGCTTGGCATCGGCTCCCCGGGAACACTGGAGGCGGTCTTGCGCGGCTACCGTGGAGATCCAGGGGCCAGGCGCGATTGGGTGGATGCCGCCATCGCGCAGGGGACGACGCAGAATCGCTTCCCGTCCGGCTACGGCGAGAAAGATTGGGACGGAATCGCGACGGACGGCATCCGCCCGATGGAGTTGGCAACGTTGCGCCTTCAGAACATGGTTGACGGCATCCTCAAGAATTGGGATGCGCTCGCGCCAGCTGACGACCAGCTATTCGTCCAACAGGGCGGTACCGTGATCTTCAGAGACAGGCAGCCCACGTACGTGTACAAAGACAAGGGCATCCTGACCTACACCCCGATAGAACAGGTGATCGAAGAGCTCAGCTTGTAGCGATGAGGCTAAAAGATCAGGACAGCGCGCACTGGGTGCCGCGTTGCGCGCTGGATCTAGCCAAAGAGTGGACTTGCCGCGCTGTTGGTCGGTGTGCCACATGTGGGGATCCATTGCTTGATGGATTGTCGACCGCTGTCTAAATCAACAGGATGGATACGGCAGGGAAGGACGGGAGAGGTGAAGGAGATATGCAGACAATGCGAAAGGGATCATGTCGGCTTATCAAACTCACTCGATTATTCTCTGTTGTGGTTCGAGTGCCTCTCTGCGATATTAGCACTTGTTGCAGCAGCACATGTTGCTACTGCCATGTGTTCGTTGACAGTCGCTGTTGTACCTTATGCTGCCTACGCCTCTGCAGAACTTGCAACTAGGTGAGCTGCTGAAGCAGTACATCTTGCCGTATCGTTTGAGGGAGATCCTGTGGAACTGACAGTATCCTGACCACAGGCGCGCAAGGAAATGAGGCCAACAATTGCGCTTACTGCACAGTTTCCGGCGAATCTGATGGAATACGGCATGGAATCCCACACCAGCGCCTTCGTTCGGGACTTCCTCACAAAATCGGCCCTGGGGGAGGGGCCAAGAGAGCTTCCTGCACCGTTTCCGGTGAATCTGACAGAATCTGGCGCAGAATCCTAAAGCACGCAATCGTTCGGGACATCATCGCAAAATCGGCCATTTCCAATTTCTACATACAGAAATTCCCGATCAACCGCAGAGCGACCAGCTAGTATAATATTGGATCCATGCGCACCTCATCGTACAGTGTCATGGCGTAGCATGCCGATATCATCACAAGTGATTGCTTCATATCGTATCGAGCAATATCCTGTCGCGCGGCCCAGCGTTTCATCGAGCCTATGATATTGTGCTTCTTGATTGGGCCATCGCGCACGCATGTGCGAGCATTGAAGCGTTACGGAGTCTCACTGCGGTACGCACGGTTTGTATATGCTCGTGGGCGTGGGCCACAAGGCACACAGCTGCCCGCGGCAAGTTCCACCACCGTTCCAGGGCCGCGCTCCGCGTGGCGGCGTGTCGAGCACCGCCCAGAGGGCCGCACCGCGGCAGCTCCCCCCTTGGGAGGCCCGAGCGCATGCTCGCTGCACCGCGGTGATCCTGGGGCTCCAGGCGGAGGTGACAGGTCCACGGCCCCGAACGAGCATTCAACGCCCGGGCAATGTCCCCTGGTGGCCCCCCTCCTGGTACGGACGGTGCCTGCTGCATCGCAGTGATCGTGGGGTGTCGGAGTCAAAGAGAGGACAGGCTCAGCTCACAGACTCGCAGTCGACCTGAGAGGTCCCACCAATCTAGGCGTGAGCGGGCCAGTGCAGCACCATGTTGTTGAATTGCTTCGCTCATTCCGCTGGCCCGTTTCGCATCGCTGTGGCTGCGTGGCGGTGTGCTCGTGCCCTGCCCAGGGGGAACGGCAGGGCAGGCGGTCTCCGAGGAGATCTCTGGAGATGTGGCCCGCACGCTGTCGAAGAGAGCCGATTGAGTGCCCCGGAGCGCGCCAAGGTGGCCCAAGAGAGCTGCAGCAGAGTTTCGAGACGCACCTGGATTGTGGGTCGAAGTCCTCACGGATGCTTCTGAGGGTCTTTTCGGAGGGAGCTTTTGGGGAGCAGTTTTGAGGCCTCTGGGGAGCCTCTTGGGGGCTCCCTGAGGACCTCTGGGGGCTTCCTGGGCGCCTCTTGGGACCGAGAGCTCGAAATGTCTGTCGGGGTTCCCTCTCTGGGCCCCCCTCTTGGAGCCATCCTGGGGCCGTCTTGGAGGCCTCTTGGGCCGTCTGGGAGCTATCTTGGGCCATTTAGTGACCCCCTTGGAGGCTTTTGGGGCCGTCTTGAAACGATATTGGGCCTCTTGGGCCGTTCAGGGCGGTCGGCAGCTCGAAAAGGCGGTACCGCCAAAGCCGTCCGAAAACCCTGGCAAAATCGATGATGTGTACGTCTACGGGGCCTCTCGAAGTCCTCTTGGAACCCTCCTGGAGCGTCTTGGGCGCTCCTTGGCCGCCTTGGGACCAACCTGGGCCATCTTGGAGCGCTCCTCGCCTGAGGCCGTGGGGCGCACTACTGGCGCCTCCTCGGGGCGCCTCCTCGAGGCCTCCTGGGGGCGCTCGGGAGGCCCCCAGAAGGCCGCGCCCAGGAGCTCCGGCATCTCTGGCCCGACCTCGCCGGGGACCTGCCAGGAGCTCGCCAGGGTGTCCTTCCGTCGGGGGGCCCCCCCAACCAAAAAGCCGCCACGCGTGCGCGAGGCAGAGGCCTTCTGAGAGTCTTGCGGGAGATTGCGGCACGCCTCCGGCCCGCGCGGCCGGCGGATGATGGCTCCGCCTCGGCAGGCCCGAACGCGGTGCTTTCTACACCGCGGGGGCCAGGAGTGCCTGGGCTTCGCCCACTCCGGCCGCCCGAGGCCCCGCCTTCCTGTGCCCTGTCGCCTTAATTAAAGCTGCGCGTAGCCCGCCTAGCTTTTAGCGGAAGAGGTTCGCTCTCGCCCCGCAGACCAAGAACTTCTACACCGCGGCGACCAGAAGTGCGAGCCTGCCCATGAGCAGGTCTGAGCGAGATTGAGCACGAGTGCAGATAAGTGTGAGCGGGTCTGGGTCAGAGCAAGTTCGAGCCTGAGTGAGCCAGCATGCGAGCGAGTCCGAGTACGAGTGAGCCTGAGTGCGAGCGGGTTTGAGTATGAGTGGATGTGAGAATGAGTGCGTTTGAGTGTAAGTGAAACTGAGTATGAGTGAGTGGATATGAGTGTGAGCGGTCTGCGTGTGAACGAATCTGAGCATGATTGAGGCAGGGAGTAGGCAGGTGGGTAAGAAGCGGATGCGTGACGCGAATCACAATAATCACTGATCGATGATATCGGACACAAGATTCCAGAATTCCGACAGGCGAGAGAGGGATCCGGAGGTGAGGCCTGCGAGGGCGCTGCACGAGCCACAAGAGCCCACGAGTTGTGCGCTGGGGGGGGAGTCGAAGAGTTGTTCCCTCTGTCGGCGGACTGCGCCGCTGCGAGGGCTGCGCAATCTCGCACGGATCTCTCGGTGTTGGGCAGCTGCCTCTCGGAAACCGGGGCCCGAGACGGGACATCCAGGACCCCGAGCGCAGGAGAAACTTTTTTTTTTTGGTCGGCGGGGCGAGAGCGGGCCCCTGCCGGTTAAGAGCTAGGCGGGGCGCGCGAAGCACTAATTTCGCAGGTCTAGAGGTTGACACCAACACCAAGATCGGCGGTGTTCCTCCACCGAGGGAAGAAGATCCCGATCTCGGTGATGGTGGTAATATTCTGGCTTCCAAGGTGGCCGAAATATTACCACCAACACCGAAATCTAGGATCACCTCCCCCCCCCGTGGAGGCAGCCCTCTGTCTTGGTGTTGGTGCCCATTTCCAGGCCCCCCATAATTGGAAAGACAGGGCGCGGGCGGGCGGGGCCTCAGGCGGCCGGAGGGCGCGGAGTGCAGGCGGTGCCGAAGATTTTGCACAGGAAAAGGTGCGCCATGGACAGGATCCCGAGCTCAGGAGAAACATGCGTCTCGGATTTTGTCGGGGCGCGCTGGAGGCCTGGCAGCGACGCCCTCCTCCTCATCATGCGCCTCCCACCTCCCGGCAACGTCAGAAACTTGCAACATCAGGTGGGAAACCTATAGAGAATTCGAAAGGTCCCCAAAAACTCGCGAAAACCTCCAAAACTGAGAAAAAGAACAGGTAAACATTTCAATATTCAAAAGCTACCGAACTGCTGATCAAAAGCAGCGCCGACGACGACGACGACAATGACGACAGCGTCAACGTTGACGTCTTCGGGCGGTGCCTTCTGTGGCCTCGGCTCGAGCATTTCTGCCAATGATTTGGCGTGGAAGTTTAGGGGCGATCTGTGCTGACAAAGCACGCCTTCATGCTGGATTCGATGGTGTTGGTCTTGTTGCTGGTGATGAACTTTGCTGGTCCAATCAACAGTTTAGTCGCACCTTCGTTGTTCCCGCCTCCGTCATGGGCCCCGAACTGGGATCTGCTCGCAAGTACAACTATTCAACCAAGCGGCGATAGCTATTTCATGCCAAATCACACATGGGGCTTGATCAGTCTGGATTGGAGTGTTGCCAAGAGTGTTTGGATGAGGCACGGCCGCAACAGGACGAATTGTGAGGCTGTCAGCGTGGAGGGATGCCGTCGTCTGAAGGCCGCGGGGAAAGCAAGTAGATGCTTCATTTACCACAACATGGAATTGGCTCTCGAATGGGAAGAGACTCAGCGTAAGGTCATGTATGATCCATCGACCGCGGATTATTTTCTTCAGTACACTGATGGCATGGGCAACAAGAACGGAACCATATACGCCGAGAATATAGAAGAGGGCGACCAGTTCTTTTGGGACTACACGAACCCGAAAGCAGCGGCGTATGTCATCTCCTCGATACTCAGGTCAGTGGACGATCCTGCTGTAGACGGAACATTCACTGACGATGTCAATGGTTTCCCACAAGAGCACGAGTCCGCGACGGCTCGTATCAACATGAGCCATCAGCAGCTCGCAGCGCTGCAGGCTGCCACCAGGGTCACCCACGCCAAGCTCGTGGGGGAGCTAGTTAAAGCTGGCAAGTATAATTGGCAAGCGTTTGGGGTTGGTGATGGTGCAGGAGTAACGTGTCCTTCTGACCCCAAAGGTTGCAGCGCTTTCATGCAGACGGGTTGCGACCCCGAGATGCAGTCGAGGCCGATGATGATGGATGCAGCCCATGCTGACAATCAGACCGTAGCTGCTTTCTTGATCACTAGGCCACCCATCGGCTTCATTGGCTGGGGTTGGGAATCAGGTGACAGCAAGTGGCCTTCGTCTGATGTGTTTCTGCTCAAACCTGGAGAGCCCCAGGGACTTTGCAAACAAGAGCAGCCCGGTATTTATTCAAGGCAGTGGAGTAAGGGCAAAGTCGTTTTGAATTGCAACGAATGGACTGCCTCCTTACCCTTCTCTCACATTGATCAACCCTCTGGGGGCAGGGTAAAGAGTGTTTCAGCGGACGTCTTGGTTGAATGATCCTGCTTTTCATCAGGCCGCTCCGGGAAAAGAATATGGGCTGCTATCTTGACGGTGAGTTGCCCCCTGGCTGTGCGCATCATGGAAGGAGGTCCAGATGCCACACTACACCCATCCCCGTACCACAGCGTGCGGTCAAGTGTGATTGGTGATTGATTACACTTGCTATACTTCTACTGGTTGCTCAGATGTTCTATCTCACCATCTTCTCCTTTGGATCAATCAGATGGCGGGTTTGTGTATGCACGGACAGTTGGTTGGCAAGGCGATTGGTTCATGTTGCGCGCATGTGGTATCATCAGTTGCTTGCACGCTCTCCCAGCAGCGTTTCGTTTCAGGGGGAGCCATGCGGGCCCCACTGTGGCAGCAGCGTCGCTCGCTTGAACAGCCAAGGAGAGTATCGATTGCTCAGCTTGAGATCTGATGCCAGGACGATCGGTACGCATGACGTGGCCGGCCCGGGCGGCGGCTCGATATTCATGCAGCCGCCCGCATGCTTCTCCAGCGTTCGGCCTCGCGTGGCCAGGCACGCCAGCCCTCCGCGTGTGCACCCAGCGCGTGGGCTCCGCACGCTCCGCATGACCATTCAGCTGTGCGTACATCGAGTTTCATGGTGCACGTTCGTTCCTTTCTTGTGTGTCGCTTTGCGGCAATACTAGCTGAGGGTTCGATCGGAGGGACAACTAGGAGCACCTCAGGAGGGGCCACGGAGGCGCTTCTGACTCAGCGGTGCCCTGCGAGCGCTGGTGGCGGCACTTCGCAGAAGGTGTGAGAGGGGGCGAGAAGGAGGAGAAGGGCGTGTCTTAGGCAGCTCGAGGCGGTTCTAGGGAGGGCAGGGGCGGCAGAGGAGGGTAGGAAGAGGGAGGTTGCAGAGGTGTGGAATTGTTGGTTTGCTCAGAGACCTTCCATCTCAATCGGCGATGCGTGGACCAATGCGCACAAGCTGGGAAGACGCCGCCCAAGGCTGGCAGGGAGAGTTCTACAAAACGCCCCGAGAAACCCCTGAAGCGTTCCAGAACCCACGAAGGCTCATTCCTCCTCATCCTCCTCCGCCTTCTCCTCCTCCTCCTCCTCCTCCTTCCTCTTCCTCCTCCTCATCCTCATCCTCCTTCTCCGCCTCCTCCTCCTCCGCATCCACCTCCTCCTCCGCCTCCTCCTCCTCCGCATCCGCCTCCGCTTCCTCCTCCTCCTCCTCCTCCTCCTCCTTCTCCTCCTCCTCCTCCTCCTCCTCCTCCTCCTCCTCCTCCTCCTTCTCCTCGCAAGTGGCGCGAAAATCAGGCACGGATACAAAAGCGACTGCACTTGGGTAGACGCGTCTTTGCGGCAGGTGTTGCTTGCGACTTGGGGCGAGTGAGGAGGGAGGAGGCTCTCCGTCACCCCCTTTGGTCTGCTGCGTCCGCCCCCCTCGGACTCGCCGTGGGTAGGACCCCAGCTGCTGTGGGCATCAGGCAATTCCAAGGCAATGCTTCCTCCTCCTCCTCCTCCTCCTCCTGCTCCTCCTCCTCCTCCTCTTCCTCCTCCTCTTCCTCCGATGGGTGCTTTCAAGCTTTCAGCAGCGCTGATGATCAAGGGCGACTTCCAGATGTGTCTCAGTCATCGTGGTATTGGGTCAGAGGTTTGCTCTCCAAAGCCGCCTTGCCGAGTCCACCTCCGCGTGATGATTCTCAGGCGGGGCATGCCGCAAGTTCGCCTACTGGCTTGAATCCGCCAGAGCTGGGTGGGGAGTCGCATAGTGCAGTCCGAACATGGTCGATCTCGTCGTGTACGGTGCAGAGCCAGGCCCCATCCAGACGTCCCTTCGGGCAGAACTATACGCAGTGGTTCAGATATTGCGAGTGGCAAGTCTTCATATCAGGATCCCGACAGACTTCTAAGATCTACCTCAAGGCCTTGATCGGGGGCCAGCCTGGGGCTGTCATCCGAGGCGACCCAACTTGACCTGTGGTGTGTAATATGGCATAGGGCCGAAGATCTTGGAGGCCTTTTCAGAGATGTTTTAAGACGTTCACGTTCGTGGGCATCAGAAAGGCCTTGGGCACGAGGCTAGAGGAAATCGAAGGGCTGATTTCGCGGCCTGTCAGGGACGTGGCATGCACGCTGGGACGGCTTCTGAGGCCAAGCGGGTCCAGCTGTTTGTTCCAGTCGGCCCGGACAGTTTTGACTTGGATGGCCAAGGCCCAAGCCAAGTTTCTCGAAGCTTCGGTTGTTCCTGGGGAGGCCGGATCCCTTCAGGCTTTGTGCTCCTCCTCCTCCTCCTCCTCCTCCTCCTCCTCCTCCTCCCTCCCTCCCTCCCTCCCTCCCTCCCTCCCTCCCTCCCTCCTCCCTCCCTCCCTGCGCCTCGCCAAGCCTGATAAACCAGGCGAGCACAGGCTGATAGCCCTCATTCACTCTCTGATTCGGGTGTGGGGGAGGGTTCGGAGGCCTGTTTCGGTGGAGTGGGAGGGGAACCATCGTAGCGAGCTCTTGTGGGGCTCGGGCCCTGGGCGCTCTAGTCTCGATTGTGCCTTCAGTCACAATTTGGAGGCCGAAGTGGCTCGCAGCATAGGTGAACACTGTGTGACGGTGCTAATCGACATGATTAAATGTTATGAATTAGTCCTGCTGTCGGCTGTGATGGCCGAGGCTGCTGCCGTGGGATACCCCCTTCGGCTTGCTTGGATGTTGGTGTGCAACTACCAGCAGCCTCGGCGCATCCGCGGGTTTGGGTCGCTCAGCCGCTCCTACAGGTCCTACCAGGGGATTCTCGCGGGGTGCAGCCATGCCACCACTCTAATGCAGGTCCTGTTGCTTAGGCCCCTCCAGAGACTCAAGAGGGAATTCGATTTTGTGGTGCCCCGAGGCCTCATGGACGACGTTTCGTTCCAGTGGATAGGGGCAGTGGCCAAGTATGCAGGTGTAGTGTTTAATGCTGTGGTGGCCTTCGCCAGGTATACCCGCCCGCTCGGCTTCTTGCTCCAGGCTTCGAAGTCGGGGTACCTGGCGTCGTCGACGGAGGCGGCCAAGGCCGTCAAGGCCCGAGCGTACAGGCTCAGGCTGCAGCAGTTTCAGACGGCCAGGAACCTAGGTCACGACACGTTTGCTGGCGGCATCCCCCGCAGAGCCCTCGAAAGAAAAAGGTTGGGTACTGTGTTGGGGCGCCGGGGGCGGCTTCGGGCCCTCAGGAAGGCCGGGGGTCTCAAGGTGAGGACTCTGTGGCGCACCGGTGTTATGCCGTCAGGTAGTCATGGAGCGGGGGTGGTAGGCCTCACGGACTCCACCCTCATGAAGTTGAGGTCGTTTGCAGGCGAGTTGGTAGGAGCTAGGCGAGGCCTCGCGTCGCTCACTGCGTATACTTGCACGCAGAGAGACAGGTTTTATGATCCCACCTTCGACGCCACCTGCCCTCTGGTTGTCAGATATGCGTGCTGGCTGTGGGATGGTCGGACCTCCCTCTCTCGCCTCCGGACTGCGGTCGTGGCCATCCGTGATCGGTTGGGTCAGCAGGGGTCTTGGAGGCAGTGTTTCGGTCCCATCTCTGCTGTGCTTCTCACGCTTCGTCGCATCGGCTGGGAGTTAGAGGCCCCTCACCTCCTCCTCTCGGACCGTGGCGAGCACATCTCTCTGTATGACTGCGCTCCCAGCGAAGTTCGGAGCCTCGTTCGAGACGGGGTTGAGCGTTGGCTTTGGCGTAGGGTCCCCTTCCACTGGCCAGAGGCGACGGGATCCGAGTTTTGTTGGGCTCGAGCGATGCGCCTGTCCCTCCTGGCTCTCCCAGCGGGTGCCCGTCAAGGTTCGATGCGCGCCCTGTGGTCTGGAGGGTTGTGGCCGCCTGCTCGCAAATTCGACGCGGGCCTGGCTCCGTCAGCTCAGTGCACCTTCTGTGGAGCGGAGCGAGGGTCGATGGGCCACCAGTTTTTCGATTGTTCCAGTGCCTTCGCCTCGGGCGAGGATTCGGGGGATGGCATGGGCTTCCCTGAGGACGTTTGGCAGCACAGGCAGGCCTTGCGGGAGAAAGGGAGGAGTCTGGGGTCGGCCGATTGGGATGTCGTGTCGTCGCTCTACGGGGTTCCCTCCCTCCCTATCCAGTTGCCTCCTCCCCCAGCTCGGCCGCCTGTGCTCACCTGGGGACTCGCGGAAGGTCCTTGGGGCAGGTTTCGGTTCACGGACGGGTCTGGGCTCCATAGCTCGGTGCCCGAGGCCACTAGATGCGGCTGGAGCGTGGTTGAGATTTCTGACGATGGATGGCCATTGAGGGCCAGATTTGGCGGTCTCCCAGGGCGTTTTCAAACGGTCCCCAGGAGCGAGAGGTGGGCGGGGCTAGATGCCATCGCCCTCGGCCCCTCGGGAGGCCTGCCACCTGTCATAATTAGCGACCACCTTTCGTTTGTCAATGAAGGGCGAGGCTGGGACCCCAACCTTGAGTGCGGTACCTCAGCCCACGCGTCGATTTGGCGCAAAATCTTCCTTGTCTGCTCCCAGCACGCTCTGCGTCCAGAGTTCCACTGGACTCCTGCACACTTGTCGCTCCAGGGGCTAATCGATCAGGATGCGGGCGCTGGTGATATATGGCGTTTCATGGGTAATGCTTGGGCCGATTTCTTTGCCAAGCTCGGAGCCCAGGACATCGCTGTTGCTGATGTGGCGGTTGCGTCGCTCCAGGCCGCCATAAGCGATTGCAAATTGTCGTGCCAGTTTCTCTCACGAGCCGTCCAGATAATCTGTGCTCGTCCCGAGGTCTCCCAGGCGCCTGCTGCTCCAGTGCCGGCTCGGGCCCCAGGGCCCCGTGCGCCCCAGCTGGTGTTAGTGGCTCATGACACCGTGCCCCTGGCTCCTGGGTCCTCGGCGGTTCAGTGCAGGCTCTGTCTGGCCGTTGCTCGGACCCCAGCCAGTTGCAAATCGTTGCTGAAACCAGGGGCGCGGTGCGAGCCTGGCCCAATGCTGCGCCAGCTAGCGGCTGCTACCGAGCGGCTGGGCTGGCGGCAGCACGTCTCCGGGGAGGGGGAGGCTGCCCTTGCCGCTGCTGCTGCCGCTATGGTGGCGGAGGCGGGGGGATACTTGTTCGAGTGCGACGGGCACAGGATCCACCGTGCAGGGCCTTTCCTGTACTGTGGCCGCTGTGGGGCCCGAGTGGCTTTGGGGTCTCCCAAGTTGGAGGCCCTTGGAGCCCCGTGCCCGCCGGCACCCCCGAACCCAGCCCGTCGGCGAGCCATGGATTGGCTTGCCGAGGGCAAACATCCAGCGTCAGGCGTTCCTTTCTGACTTGATGCGGGGGGGAGGCCTGTCGGGTGCCGCCCAGTTCGCCTGAGCTGGGTTGGTGCCGTCAAAACATCGATGGCCTCCCTCCGCACCGTGTAAGTGTGCAATTATCGGTCGAATGCTTCCGGCCTGGAGTGCTGGTGATTTATCACGCTCCCCCGTTTCATTTTATATAGTCGCCGTCGCGTTCCCGGATGTTTCGACGTTCTATGCTGCGTCCTGCGTCCTCCCTCCCTCCCTCCCTCCCTCCCTCCCTCCCTCCCTCCCTCCCTCCTCCTCCTGCTTCTCCTCCTCCTGCTTCTCCTCCTCCTCCTCCTGGGACGAGGCAGGCGAGAGGAGGGCGTCCCCCAGGATGGACCGGGACCAGTTCGAGAGGGCGGAGCAGGCGAGGTCCCGCCAGCGGCGCGGCCGAGCGCGCCAGAGCGCGTGGGTCTCGCCGCCCCCATCCCCCCACCCCCTTGCGGCCAGGAAGCGTCCCGACGGCCAGTTTCGGCCTCCAGGGGCCCCTACCGGGCACCGGGACCGTCAGAAAGCTGCCCGGGACGAGGGACGGGTCCAGAGGGAGGGGTCCGGGCCTCCGGGGGTCCATGCTGCGAGAAGGCACGGAGTGGTAGTTTCGGGTCGGCACGGCATGATGGCCGTATGCTTGCCGTTGAGCTTGCAGCCGCGGGAGGCCGCTGGTCGAGGCGGCCCGGCTGTGCCTCGAGTGCCCGTGCCCGCCGTGACAGCGAGGCTCACGCCGAGAAGGGGTCATCGGAGGCACGACTTGCCCAGATCTCCGACGAGATGATCGTTTCGATCTTGGAGTTTCTCCTCTGTTTCGGCCCTCGGGGACCTTCTTCGGGCCGCGGGACCATCAAAAGTGGGTCTGGGACGAAAAACTGACCCAGGGGAAGCGGTCAGGATTTCTGGGGCCGCCGATTGAAACACGTGCTGGCGGTTGTCTGGGTGTGTTGATCGCTTAGGCCATCGATCCTCGCTGGAGGATGCCTGGTGCTCCGATCCACTTAGCACAATTCAAGCATTCGGCAGGGATGGCTTTCCGAGCCGACCCCAAGGATTGTGTATAGATGGACGCTCTGGAGAAGTGCGGTGAAGTATCGTCGCTGTCAGCGATCGTTACCTCATGTGTGTCTGCATATTCGCGTCCAGCGGGGGGGACATTGTGAACCAGACAGGGTCAGGCATCTCAGCGCACTCGTCGTCAAGAGTGCGCTTGATTGTTCGAGAATGCTTGGCAAGAGCGTGCAGCCGTGTGAAGTCCTCGAGATTGCACCAGTGCAATCCGGCCGGGGCCCCAGGCTATAGTTGGGTGTGTTGGTGAGCAGTCGCATTGACGCCTGAATAAAACAAAAAACAGAAAAGCGAGAATCAGAATCTCCGTCAAATCGTAAACAACCCAGCGTGTGAAAAGAGCATCTTGTAATCGAGGCTGTTCGGGCGAGCCTGGATTTCGCAGATTCGACTGCTTACGATCCAATTTCTGCTCTTCTACTACTCTTCACTATCCTGCTCTTCACGTGCTATCCACTCGCAGCCCAGAGGATCTGGCGTCGTTGCAAAGTCTGGCCGTGAATGCCGATCGCCGCCTCCCCCTGACAGAACTGTGTGGAGGCCCGCCAGATGCTCTTGGGCTGGCGCTGGACACACCTCCCCGCACAGTTCCCACGGCACGGGAAGCGCGCCTGGGGCAGCACTGGAAGCGCGCCAGGGATGCGGGGAGCGGGGTCCAGAGCCGACCCAGGAAGCTCGCGAGGGCCTCAGAAGTTCAAGTCTACACCGCTGCGGCTCTTGTCCACTCCCTCGCCCCTCTCGGCCTCCAGGCCTCCGTCTCCCGGGCTTGCCCCCCTGCTCGTCAGGAGTTCCGTCGCGTTGGCGGGGAGGGCAACTTGCCGCTGAGCGACTTGGCAGCTCAGGCCCCGAAGAACGGGGGAGATGAATGCGAGCCAGGAGGAGGAGGAGGAGGAGGAAGATCCCCTACGAACGGATAGCGGCGATGGCAAACGGGAGACGAAAGGGGTTTGAATGGTGATCGTTTTTGACTTGTTGTTTTGCCGATCGGCGCGGGCCCTCGAAACCCCCTCCCCCCCGCCCCATGGAGTGATCTTGGCTGTTTTGGGTGCCTGTTTCGAGCAGGTGGAGCCCCTCCCCCGTCATGGACGCACAGCTGCAGACGGTGGCATTCGGCAGAGGTCCCGAGCCAGGCCCCCCCCCCTTCCCCCCTTTCGCGGAATGGCGACACGCCGAAGAAAGAAACGCCCACACGAGGACGCGAGCACAGAGCGACGAATGCGAGCGCCGCACGCCCGAAGAGTGGCCTGCGCGGCGCAGCGCCGCGCCGGCACTCCGCGGCCTGGCACGGCACGGCACGCGCAGCTCCGGCGCGCAACGCAGAGCGCGGAGGGCGCGCGGCCCGCCCGCACTGCGCGAGCAGCGCGCCGCGGCGCAGCGCCCACGACACGGCACGCGCGGCATGGCGTTTCCACTTGGCGCAATGGTGTCAAAGCCTGCTTCGGCCTTGATCACCCGAGAAGAGTCTCGAGCACCAGAAGAGTGCCCAAGAACTCGAGGGCCTTCGCGCGTCGGGCCCTGGGAGACACTCGGCCGACACTGCTTCGACACTCTTTCGACACTCTTCCGGGTGCTCGGCACGATTGCTGGGATGTGGTCCTGCAGTACGATGGGGGCAACATAAACTTGGCGAGGCCAGCTTCATGCCAGTCTTGATAGGGACCGCGCTGTGGGGCGGCTGGTCGAAAGCACGGTGATGGGCGAATGCAGCCCCACAGGGTTACCAGGGGCAAGAGCAGCTTGAGCAGGGAACGCAGGGCAGCGGAGAGACTGGAAGGATCTTGTGTCTCTGTTGCACCGCGCGCCCGCCTCCTCCCTGCTCCCGTATCCTGCCGCTGCCGTTGCGCTGCCTGCTGCATGCCGCATGCCGCTGCAGCTGCGGCCCTGCCGTTGCTGCTGCAGCCGTGGCCAGCCGCTCTGCTGTTACCGAGATGCTACTGCTGCAACACCCGTTTCGGCTCACACACGCACACACACCATTCGTTTCGTTTTCATCATGGGTGCTCCACTTACGGCCCCACTGGGGGTGCGAGTATCGGCGCCCCGCTCATTTCGGCATACCCCTCGCACCGATCGGGCTCGACAGGGAGCCCCATGTATGGTTTCAGTGGGGATGCCAGGGTGTCGCCGTCCCGCCCAATCCAGCACACCACATCGCACGGATCTCGCCTCACAGGGAGCTTTAGTTTCAACCGCAGCGGAGGGGGAGTAGGGCATCGCGCCAGTCATGTCAGTACACATTTCGCACAGGTTGCGTTTCATGGGCAGCCCCGGTGTCGACCCAGTGGTGATGCGAGTATGGCGTCGCCTTGTCTATGTTAGGACACGTTCCTCACGGATCGTGCATCATGGGGAGCTTCGGTTACGGTTGTAGGGGCCTCAAAGTATGGCGTCGCTTTGTTGATGTCGCCACCTCTCGCACGGACCGGTCTACCGTAGGGGCTAGCTACGGCCTTACAGAGTGGGATATGCACATGCCGTCCTTCCCCGCTTCATTCGGCACATCAGTCACCCAGATCATGCCCCCTGGGGAGCTGCAATCATGGCCCCAGCTGGTGCATGCGCATGCAGTCCCCACCCCATTTTCGGCACACCTGTCGCACGCTTCATGCCCCTTCGGGGGCTCCAGCTACCGCCCGCCTGAGGGTATGCGCAAGGTGTCGCCGCCTCCATTTGGCGCACCCCTCGCGCGGACCGTGCCCCTCGAGCAGCCACGACGGGTGTGTGCGCATGCCGTCCCTGGGTCGATTCGGGACACCTTTTGCACGGACCGTGCCCAGCAGGGAGTTCCAACTACGGCTCCAGTAGGAGTGAGCGCGTGCCGCCTCCGCCTCTCTTCGGCACGGACCCTGCCACGGATCGTGCCACACCGGGAACTTCCGGATCCCACCCCGTGCTGCCCCGCGGCACGCCGTGTCCTATGAGGAGAGGGCCCCTCCCTGCGCCACTCGCAGCTGCATGGGCCTGGGCCGCCCGCTCGGCGAGTCGAGTATGTACCATTTGCTGTTGCCCGCTCAGGCTGGCGCCCGCGCGGCGGTGGCCGCTGAGAGGCGCCGCCTGGCCCGATGCCAGAAGCCACGAGCGCTGAGCCAGACTGGAGGGCTTCTCCGAGGGGCTCAGGCGACCCGTCCTCTTCCTCCTCCTCCTCCTCATCCTCCTCCTCCTCCTCCCTCCTCCTCCTCCTCCTCCTCCTCCTCCTCCTCCTCCTCCTCCTCCTCTTCCTCCTCCACCTCCTCGTCCTCCTCCTCCTCCTCGGGTCGCCTACGGTCCCAGGGGAAACCGTGCAATCCAGACAGACAACAGACAGGCAGACAGACAGACAGACAACAGACAGACAGACAGACAGACAGACAGACAGACAGAGACAGACAGACAGACAGACAGACAGACAGACAGACAGAAAGACAGGCAGACAGGCAGACAGGCCCGCACTCTGGCGCCGAAGGGCGATCCTCTAGAGATGGCAGACACATGGAGAGTGCTCATTTCTAATTCGTGTGCTGCACGTGGCCTCCGCCGCCCCTTCGGCGCGCTTCATTTCTAATTCGTGGCCGGAATTGCAAATGACCGGAATTAGAAATGAACGCGCTTGTTAGGCCCCGGAGGCCCCAGGGCAAATGCATTCGAGCGCGCGCCCGAGTCTGGATCTGGGGCGCGCCATCCTTGATCGGGCACGCGTAGACGTGACGCGCAAATCCTGCGTGTCGCGCACACGTGACACGCAAAATCTGCGTGTCACACGGAGCGCGCCTGGGGCGGGACACGCAGAATCAGGGGGGCGGACACGCAAAATCTTCGTGTCGCACGCCGGGGGTCCAGGGGCCGGGGTGGGGACACGCAGAATCTGCATGTCACGCGGGCTCCACCAGGGGGGCGGTCACGCAAAATCTGCGTGTCGCACGCCACGGGTCCTGGGTGCCAGGGTGGGGACACGCAGAATCTGCGTGTCACGCGGGCCCAAAATGTGCGTGTCGCACGCCGGGGGTCCGGGGGCCAGGGTGGGGACACGCAGAATCTGCGTGTCATGCGGGCCCCACCAGGGGGACGGACACGCAAAATCTGCGTGTGCACGCCAGGGGTCCGGGGGCCGGGGTGGGGACACGCAGAATCTGCGTGTCACGCGGGCCCCACCAGGGGGGCGGTCACGCAAAATCTGCGTGTCGCACGCCAGGGGTCCTGGGGGCCGGGGTGGGGACACGCAGAATCTGCGTGTCACGCGGACCAATCTGCGTGTCGCACTCCGGGTGTCCGGGGGGCCGGGGTCGGGACACGCAGAATCTGCGTGTCACGCGGGCCCCAGCAGGTGGGGCCAAGGGCCGGGGACCTTGGCGCTCCCCGAGGTCCAGAGGCCGGGGGCCAGGGCCGGGACATGCAGAATTTGCGTGTCACCTCGAGAACGCCGCGCAGGGGCACGCAGAATTTGCGTGTCACGGAGGCGTCACGCCGGGGGTCCGGGGGACGGGGTGGGGACACGCAGAATCTGCGTGTCACGCGGGCCCCACCAAGGGGGCGGACACGCAAAATCTGCGTGTCGCACGCCGTGGGTCCGGGGGCCGGGGTGGGGACACGCAGAATCTGCGTGTCACGCGGGCCCCACCAGGGGGGCGGACACGCAAAATCTGCGCGTGGCACGCCGGGGGTCCTGGGGGCCGGGGTGGGGACACGCAGAATCTGCGTGTCACGCGGGCCCAAAATCTGCGTGTCGCACGCCGGGGGTCCGGGAGCCGGGGTGGGGACACGCAGAATCTGCGTGTCACGCGGGCCCAAAATCTGCGTGTCGCACGCCAGGGGTCCGGGGGCCGGGGTGGGGACACGCAGAATCTGCGTGTCACGGGAGCCCCACCAGGGAGCCGGACATGCAGAATCCGCGTGTCGCGCGCCGGGTGTCCCTGAGGCCGGGGTGGGGAACGCGGGCCCAAAATCTGCGTGTCGCACGCCGGGTCTGGGGGCCGGGGTGGGGACACGCAGCACCAGGGGGGCGTACACGCAGAATCTGCGCGTCCAGCGAGCCCAAAATCTGCGCGTCGCACGCTGGGGGTCCGGGGGCCGGATGGGGACACGCAGAATCTGCGTGTCACGCGGGCCCCACCAGGGGGGCGGACACGCAAAATCTGCGCGTGGCACGCCGGGGGTCCTGGGGGCCGGGGTGGGGACACGCAGAATCTGCGTGTCACGCGGGCCCAAAATCTACGTGTCGCACGCCGGGGGTCCGGGAGCAGGGGTGGGGACACGCAGAATCTGCGTGTCACGCGGGCCCGACACGCAAAATCTACGTGTCGCGCGCCGGGTGTCCAGGAGGCCGGGGTGGGGACACGCAGAATCTGCGTGTCACGCGGGCCCAACGTGTCGCACGCCGGGGGTCTGGGGGCCAGGGTGGGGACACCGCGGGCCCCACCAGGGGGGCGGACACGCAGAATCTGTGTGTCGCGCGCCGGGTGTCCCGGGGGCCGGGGTCGGGACACGCAGAATCTGCGTGTCACGCGGGCCCCAGCAGGTGGGGCCAAGGGCTAGGACCGTGGCGCTCCCGGAGGTCCAGAGGCCGGGGGCCAGGACCAGGACATGCAGAATCTGCGTGTCACCTCGAGAACGCCGCGCAGGGGCACGCAGAATTTGCGTGTCACACGGGCTCAAAATCGGCGGGTCGCACGCCGGGGGTCCGTGGGCTCGGGTGGGGACACGCAGAATCTGCGTGTCACGCGGGCCCCACCAGGGGGGCGGACATGCAAAATCTGCGTGTCGCACGCCAGAGGTCCTGGGGGCCGGGGTGGGGACACGCAGAATCTGCGTGTCACGCGGGCCCCACCAGGGGAGCGGACACGCAGAATCTGCGTGTCGCGCGCCAGGGGTCCGGGGGCTGGGGTGGGGACGCGCAGAATCTGTGTGTCACGCGGGCCCCACCAGGGGGGCGGACACGCAGAATCTGCGTGTCACGCGGGCCCAAAATCTGCGTGTTGCACGCCAGGGGTCCGGGGGCCGGGGTGGGGACACGCAGAATCTGCGTGTCACGCGGGCCCCACCAGGGGGGCGGACACGCAGAATCTGCGTGTCGCGCGCCGGGTGTCCCGGAGGCTGGGGTGGGGACACGCAGAATCTGCGTGTCACGCGGGCCCAAAATCTGCGTGTCGCACGCCGGGTCTGGGGGCCGGGGTGGGGACACGCAGAATCTGCGTGTCACGCGGGCCCCACCAGGGGGGCGGACACGCAGAATCTGCGTGTCGCGCGCCGGGTGTCCCGGGGGCCGGGGTGGGGACACGCAGAATTTGCGTGTCACGCGGGCCCAAAATCTGCGTGTCGCACGCCGGGTCCGGGGGCCGGGGTGGGGACACGCAGAATCTGCGTGTCACCCGGGCCCCACCAGGGGGGCGGACACGCAGAATCTGTGTGTCGCGCGCCGGGTGTCCCGGGGGCCGGGGTGGGGACACGCAGAATCTGCGTGCGGGCCCAAAATCTGCGTGTCGCACGCCGGGTCCAGGGGCCGGGGTGGGGACACGCAGAATCTGCGTGTCACGCGTGCCCACCAGGGGGGCGGACACGCAGAATCTGCGTGTCGCGCGCCGGGTGTCCCGGGGGCCGGAGTGGGGACACGCAGAATCTGCGTGTCACGCGGGCCCAAAATCTGCGTATCGCACGCCGGGTCTGGGGGCCGGGGCGGGGACACGCAGAATCTGCGTGTCACGCGGGCCCCACCAGGGGGGCAGACACGCAGAATCTGCGTGTCGCGCGCCGGGTGTCCCGGGGGCCGGGGTGGGGACATGCAGAATCTGCGTGTCACGCGGGCCCAAAATCTGCGTGTCGCACGCCGGGTCCGGGGGCCGGGGTGCAACGCAGAATCTGCGTGTCACGCGGGCCCCACCAGGGGGGCGGATACGCAAAATCTGAATGTCGCACGCCGGGTGTCCTGGGGGCTGGGGTGGGGACACGCAGAATCTGCGTGTCACGCGGGCCCAAAATCTGCGTGTCGCACGCCGGGTCCGGGGGCCGGGGTGGGGACACGCAGAATTTGCGTGTCACGCGGGCCCCACCAGGGGGGCGGACACGCAGAATCTGTGTGTCGCGCGCCGGGTGTCCTGGGGGCAGGGGTGGGGACACGCAGAATCTGCGTGTCACGCGGGCCCAAAATCTGCGTGTCGCACGCCGGGTCCGGGGGCCGGGGTGGGGACACGCAGAATCTGCGTGTCACGCGGGCCCCACCAGGGGGGCGGACACGCAGAATCTGTGTGTCGCGCGCCGGGTGTCCCGGGGGCCGGGGTGGGGACACGCAGAATCTGCGTGTCACGCGGGCCCCAGCAGGAGGGGGCCAAGGGCCGGGGACCATGGCGCTCCCGGAGGTCCAGAGGCCGGGGGCCAGGGCCGGGACATGCAGAATCTGCGTGTCACCTCGAGAACGCCGCGCAGGGACACGCAGAATTCCCGTGTCACGGAGGCGTTCGCGTCTGCGCGACACGCGAAGCCTGCGTGTCAGTCACTCGGCAGGGCCTTGAGGCTTCAGACTGACGTGACACGGAACGCGCTCGGGGCGGCGTCGCGTAAGTAAACGTGATGCGCAAATCTTGCGTGTCACCCGGAACGCGCTCGGGGCGGCCGGGCGACGCGACACGCAGGATTTGCGTGTCGCGTAGACGTGACACGCAAATCCTGCGTGTCACACGGAACGGCGACGACGTTGCTGTTGCCGTTATTATTTTCATCTTTTACGAGCGTAAGCAGATGCTGCGCCCTGACGCGCCTTGGAGACACGTTGGGCGTAGCGCTTGAGCACATGCCTTGCCGTCGGCACCTCTCATTTGCAATTCGTGGCCGGAATTGGAAATGACCGGAATTACAAATGACCGGAATTACATATGAGTGCTCTATACAAATTGGAAGAGACAGTGGGTTGTCCTTGCATCAACACACACACACGTATGAGGAGATCTGTAATCGCACCTGCTCATGAGGGTTGTGAAAGGATAGTGTGTTCGTCTGGCCAGAGGGGCTGTTCTCGGACACGGCGCGCAAAGTGAGGAGAAGAGGACCGTTGGAGTTGAGATCAGACGTTATATGCACGACC